GCGAGCGTTTCCTTAGAAAAAAAAAAATAAAAAAATACTTATATATAAAATCTAGATAATAGGAAAATACCTACATGAGGTGTTGTGTACGACGACGACGACGACGTACACCTCGCATACTTTTTTACTCTTTTTTTTTTTTTCTTTTTTGGTGGTATTCTTTACAATTTTTTTTTTCTTAGTATTTCTTAAATATATATATATATATATATATATACGTCCATAAAACGCGCACAATGTACCGCACACATGTGTGACGAATCCGTCGCACTAGGCACACCGAATATCGGCCGGCTGTCCCCTGGGAATCTTCTACACGCAGACACATGAACACACATTAGTTAATGCAAAAAAAAAAAATCTCACTCACAATGTGATTAAAAATTACACATGTATACATATATAAGTTGTCCAGAGAGAGAGAGAGAGAGAGAGAGCCAAAAGTGTAATTTTTTACACGATTTTTAACAAATAGCTGTGTGCCCAACTCTATAGCCAGATCTCGACTAGACGGTCTTCTGACCGTCCTCCACACTTTGCGTTGTCTATAATAGTGATAATAATGATATCGAATATAGCATTTGTGTAATATTTGATCGTCTTTTCGATAACGTTGAACGGCATTCAGGTTTTTTTCGGTTGCTTACATTACCAGCAATAATTACACACATACATACATTGCTTCCTCGTGAGAGAGTGGTGAGTGCACCGTCTGGTTTTTTATAGTCCAGTCTAGTATTGGGAAAAAAAAAAGAAACACCGAAAACAAATTAGGCGCAATTAAGTAAAATATTATTTAAACAACTATAAAAACAAGCCGAATATGATTAAAAAAAAAGTATGTAGTTTTTTTTTTCAAACAAAATACAATATTATACGAAACACGGAATGCTCGGTAGTTGGCCGTGACAGCTCTTGGAGGAGGGTTAGAGTAGTACCTACTTATCAGGTATGTTTTGTCTTGGACCTTTAGGGGTGGTGGTCAACGTAGAGAAGATGCTCATAAAACAAAGTCCACCAATCACAGCACCGTCAGACCGTTGCGGTATAGTTGTATCTTACATAGGTATATATATATATACATTTTGTTTTTCCCCAACCGTTTTGCAGATTTTTTTACATATTTTTACCTTCGCCTTAGCAGGTCTCTGCTTTTTGCACATTCTTTCAGTTTCGAGACTCAAGTTCTTTCCTTGAAAGTAATTAACAAAAAAAAAAACGCCCCTCGAAAACCTATATATATATATATATATATATGTTTGTGTGGTAGGACCCAGATGGGAATCCGATATCCGGTCAGTGCGGTGTTAACTCAGTTTTCCATTACAATAAATATTAGCTGTGTATAATTTTACACATAGGCTGCGGCAGATATATTATATTATATATGATATGTTGGTTTAACGTTATTAGGCGCGCAGATATTAATATAATAGGAGGAGGTATATTATAGTAGTAGTAGTAGTTGAAGAAGAAGAAGAGAAGAGATCCACATTACATTTTATATATATATATATATTATAAGAAGCCTATATCGGCTTACACACACACACACAACTCGGTCGGTCGTTTATTCGAGTATATCGTTTTTCCTAGGACGGTGTTCAATTACACAATATCGCCTATTATTATTTTTAATAATTATTATTGACCGTCGTCGTGTCTAGAGTACTTAGTGGTGGTCGTAGTCGGTTTTCACTTAATATAATATACTAAACCCTTTTTTAGCAGCAGCAGCAGCAGCGGAGATGCCTTTTTTATTTTTCTTCTGTTCTACTTCTGAGGGGGCGAACGATTTAGTTTATTATTATTTTATTTTTTTTTTTTTGCGAATTACCCGAGTACACTGTGTGTGCGTTTGCGTTTGCTTTAAATACAATGTAGCCAGTTTAACGTCCATATAATATTATATTGTAACGTGTGTGTGTGTGTGTAGAATGGTTTTTATTTTTACGACCGGGTGACGGCCGCTCATAAAAATAAATGGTCTGACCTCGGTGGCAATAAAAATTTAGCGGCCGTCTGATTTGTGTTGTACTATAAAGAGGAGAAAAAAAAAAAACAAAACTAGGGCACACGAGCAATGCCTCGTCGTTTTTAAATAAAAAAAAACACACCGATTATTGTCATAATATATAAAATTTATAATATATCACTATAATATAGTATAAAATAGTTTACATATATTATTATATATATATTGATATAAAGTAAATCGATAATCACAGGCGACAATAATAATAGTAAACATATTATTCAAATAATAAACAACAATAATAACGTGTGTTGTTCCCAAATCCAATCGGCTTTAGGATTTATCGATTATTATTAACAGTCATTTGTTTCTATTTTTTTTTTTTTTTTTTTTACAGTATTATTTATTATATTATTATATACCGACGTGTGATTGTGGCAATATAAATATTTTTTTTTTTTTTAAATTTCATTTTATTTTACTTGTCTCGTGTTCACCGACAGCTGTTGTGTACAACATTTAAAGGAATGTTAATATTATTATAATAAACGAATTTGCGCCCATACCGATGTACGTTTTATATTATTAAGTAAAACGATAGATACAAATAGATAACGCGTTATCACGGATAAAACCAGTTCCTAGACCGGGACTGATAAGCGTCCGACATTTTCTTTTTGCGCGTTGCGTACAATTTCCACGGATTGTCTATATAGAGTCTGTTTATTGTACAATTATATTCTCGACTCCCAACGATAAATTCAGCGACTGTCAGTTCTATACAAAGACGTCTATATAAACTAGATTGTTAAGTGTACACGCCGCCGATAATTGCGACAATAGAATTTGCCATTTTCGAGAATCTCATCAGATGTTTACAACTGTTATCACTGATTAAAAGTCGATAACACAGAAACACGGATGTGTATTATTTTATACACACATAAAAATCACCAAGAAAATGGCCGACGCGTAAATAAAAAAAAAAAAGAATAACGTTTTAAATTTTGCGCGGTATTTTATTAAAATTTTTTCGATAGGTATTAATTTTTTAAACGCCCTCGACGAAAGGGCCGACGAAACGTTTATGGAAAATATTATGCAAAATCCGTTTTTTACATACAATCTATTACCGTATTGTATATATGTGTGTATACTCGTGCGTAGATATAAATTCATTACATTATTTGTGTGCTGTGCTCTGGTGTGTGTGTGTGTATATATATATATATATATTATATATACATATATAATATGAATAACGAGGAGGAGAACGGCGGGAACCGCGGCCTCGGCTTTAAACCGCACATATGTTAAAGACGTCTGTGCCACAGAGACTTAGAGGGAACAGCAGGTGGTACGAAATACGTTTAAAAGAATACTCAAACGTGTACGCGTTGCTCTTTTCGAATAACACACATGCGGTATAAAATATGTTAAAAAGAGACGGAATTACACCATATTCCCGTCTCTATTTAATATAATAATAATAATAATAATATAATGTTTAAAAACGCAGAGAAGAAGACGGAACGAAAAAAACCGAACGTTTTTTTTTTTTCCCCTGTCTTTTTGTACCACAAAAAAATAAATTATATAAATGTTATATGTGTGTGTGTGTGTGTGTAAGTATGTGTTATTCTTATACACGGTTTTTTTTTTTTTTTTTGTTAAAAAACCCATATATGTAGGTATATTATGTGTGTGTGTGTGTAGAGCTCTGTTACTGTGAGGATTGTACACACACACACACACACACACGTTTTACTTTCCTAGTGAGCGAGAGAGAGAGAAAAATAAGAATTTATATATATTATATTATTATTATTATTATTTTTTTTTTAAAAAAAATATACGGCCGAGAGGGAATTTATATTGTAAACCGCGAAACCGGTTTCGTGTGTGTACCGACAGCGGAATATACATACATTAGGCGGCGCACACGGAATAATACTGTGTATAAGAGAGCCGACCATCGCAGCATTATATTAAAATACGATTTAAAAAAAAAAAATACCACATAGCTAGACTTTTTTATTTTTTTTTTTATTTAAAGCGTACACATACATTAAAAAAATATATACATACCTCTATATAATATATATAAATCCGACCGAAGTAAGACCCCGAGAACCGTCTTCGTCGTCGTTTCTTGTATACTGTTGGTACAAAATGATAGTTTGCCAACATGATATATGCAAAAATTGTGGGGTTTTCCAACAAGCGTACATCAATTTGTACAAATACTATATACACACGTCGTCCGTCTAAGTATAGTAATATCACGTATAATTTAATTATTATTTTTCCAACGTTGACAGTAATATCTATTGTACTTGTAAACGGTCTGCTATTTATTTGAAATTATTATAGCAGATCACGACCTTATCACACGTTTATAACTGTTATCACTGATATATGTATGTATTAGTGATAACAGTGATTATAACAATCATAAGTTAAGCTGATAACACAGAACCACAGATGTATATGTACTATTTTTTATACACACAAAAATGGCCGACGTCGACTCGTGCTGCATTCTTATCACTAGGTAGCAATCTATAACTGCGTTTACCCTCCTCGACTTAGGTGTGGCCGCACTTTAGATAATATTAAATTATATTGAGAGCGTGTTAAAACTTTCACAGGTTAAACGGAATGTAATTGTAGTATTGTATAAAACATATTTTACTGTAATAATAATAACAATATCGCATGTTATCGCATATTTTTGTGTGATAACAAATATATCGGTGATAACAATCTTATAAACAAAAACTCGGCTACGCTCAGAGTTCTGAAACGAGAGTAATTGTTTTTTTTCTCCGACTCGAGAAGGGTTTTGGTTTGTTTTTACAATATTCAATTTTTTTTAGCAATTACATTGCTGCTTCGATTGGGAGTGTCTGTCGCCGCTATGTTGTGCAATTTTATCTGTAATCCGTGTTATCATTATCATTATCATCAATACTATTCGATTATTAATGTTTTTACAATGTTTTGTTTTTTTTGTCTGTTACAGAACTGGGTAAGCACAATAACGCATCGGTCGATATCTCGTTTGTACCTATCCCGACCAGTAAGTCTCACCTTATAAAATCATACAAAATATTATACTTGTGTATTCAACAAGACGACGTCTCTCGACCGACGGGATAAGAATCTGACACGGGTTAACGTCCCGGGGATTGTAATATTATTTTCTATACCTATACGTTTAATATAGGTAAAAAAAAAAAAAAACAATTTCGCTAATGGACTACTCCACTCACCGGACTGAGGCCGTCGTGTAGGTAATAATAATAGTAATAATAATAACAAAAAGAATAATCAATTTATATTGTTTAATATATTATTTGTTATTTTTACCACAGAAGGGCTGGTGGGCGGCTTATGGACATTGTAGTACTATGTGTGTATTATTTTAATCCATTAGACCGATATTGTCTACAATACGGATAAGCATTTTTTTGTGTTATTATTATTATTATTATTATTGTTATAAATGATATTATTATGTGGAGAAACAACGAGAGCAAGGATAAACATTGTAGGGGATAGCTGGTATTGTGTTGTACAAATCGAATAGCCACCCGAAGGAGAGGACTTGTGTATAATAATAATAATAATAATAGTATAGGTATATATTATTGTGTGTACATATTGATATAGCGTGACCGCACGGCACCGATAAACGTATATCAACATGTAATATTATAAATTAGGTATCAAAAAATAATATGGGAAAAAAACAAAAATAGCTATTGAAATGTGTATAAAAAGGATTTTTTTTACATTTTTTTTTTTTTGGATAGCATTTTTTCCCCTTGGGTTTTGGTTTTTGTTTTTTTACTTACTTATTGAAAACCTAAAATGTCTTTGATGACCTTCATTGTCGCGCGTTGTTACATTGTGTGTGTGTGTAATTTCTTTGATGATTTTTTTGATAATATTAATAAATTTTAATTACCTTAGGTGCCCTCCAGTGTCACGCCCAATGTGTGTGTGTGTGTGTGTACTACCTATACTAACCTACTGTTATTATTAATATGTATATTGTATTTCCTTGTGAACGGTTAGTGGTTGTGCTGCTGCTTGCCTATCCATCAGCAGCTGCCGCCGATCATCGTGCCAGTATATTTTCATTAAAATGTTAATTGATTCGTGGCTACAGACAATAATAATGTGTTTATATTTTTAATTACTCGAAATTCTCTCCCGTGTGTCTTATCCACACCTTAATATTTTAATATATATACTATATTATTCTCGTGTAAGTCGGCGGCGACGGCGGCTACCTATCAATTAAAAAAACAATGTACACAGAATGTATAATTATTACCGAAACATATTATATTTCGACCTGTCCGTGTCCAATTAGTAATTTTTTTTTTTTCTTCGAGAAATTCATTCCACAATCGATGTGTCGGCCTCGGCCGATGATAATAACAATAATTATTATGTATGCATGTCCAGTGGCCGCCCAACTAGCCAGAGCTGCATATGATAATATGTTCCAGTGCCCTAGTGCGGTGTATAACTCTAAATAATAATGATATTATCATTCACTCGGTCCTTGTCGTTTGGAATTTACATAACACGGATGAATCGCTTTTACACAAGATATATATTATTTCTCTAGTGTTTACTCATACTACATACTAGATAGGTACATAAAAAATATTACGAGTGATTGACTTTATATGCATTTTTTTTTATCAATATCATTCTTGGACATTGATATTAGCAAAGAGCTTGTATGATGTTGCAAACACTTCAAAAATTTGAAATTCTGTTATTAAACACTATAATTTCAACTTAACGCCACAACATTTAACTTTTTTTCCCTTCTTTTTTTATCAATCCAAAGATTGGTTAATAAATGATTGATGTCACTTGCTTCAAAAACGGGTTTCTAGGTCTCTTCCCCTTCCCCGAGGATTCCTTCTATTATTGTGGTCATCCAAGTTTATATTCCTTGCCGAGTGTCTTCATAAACCACAGTATTCCTTAATTTTTCTCAACGCTCTTCTCCAAAATCATACTCTGAAGGCTTCTATTTGGGCTTTGCCGGCCTTTTTACTGCTGTTTTCTTAGTGTTCATACTTGCAGTGTTTTCGGTGTAAAACGATTCCTCTTTTTATTAGATGAAAATGATAAGATAAAACGGTAGCACCTCCTTCGATGCGCCCATCAAGACGGTTTGTGGGCGGTGAAATATTATTCGGATGGACCGCATAATATCGAAACGATATCGAACGGTTGCTAATGGAAATATAACGAAGTAGCGGATTCAAGTGTCTCGTTGTAATAATAATAACATTTCATCTTTGAGCATGTAATTTCACGGAAAACCTAACCGGTCTACTAAACGCCTCTTCTCGCGTCATCAGTCGAGGGTAACGTTAAAATTATACCTGTACTCCGGTAATTGTATACAATCACACCGCACTTTAACCGACAATGCCATTATCTGCCGCCGCTATAATCTAATTGTCAACCAGTTAATAAAAGGGCAATCGCGTTAAACTGTTGAACAATAACAATAATAATATAATACAAGAGACCTTCGTTTCGTTTCTCCACCCACAATATAAAAACACACGGTCTTCGGCCAATATTATGTATCCCACGGCTAGCGCGTTGCCTTTATACCGATTAACCGACGGTGACCATGACAGTTTGAGTACTTAAAATACATTTGTGATTCAAGATAATAGAGTGCATGCGTTAAAAGGACTCATCATTGTCGTAGAAGCTCTGTGGTATTACTACATTCACTACTAAATTCACCAAACATTCTTGGAAAAATAAATGAGAATTTTTAACTATAGACAATAATGCATTTGGAACGGCTTGAAGCTCTTTTTGTAGTTGGGTTTTCTGTCAATAAGGCTCAGAATTGATGAACAACTAATGCTTGCCGGATTTAAATCTCAAAGATACAATAATGAAGCTAGTGGAGAGAGTGGATAGGTCATTAAGGTGTGGTGGCTTATGGGAATTCCTTTTAGCATAGAATATTATGCTTTTGCGATGACCGATTTGCCACGAATAGCGTCAAAAATTAAAAAATGAGTAATTTTTAGGTTCGTTTAAGGAATGCAAGGTTAGGTTCGATTTAGATTAGATGGGATGAGTTGAGGTTGGATTCGGATTGAATGGGTTCTGACTATTGGCTGCCATCGACAACAGCTATGAATGTCGAGGAAAGTGAATAGTTTTGAGGAATGAATTCACTAGATTAGAGAATCTTCAATTATAGACTACTTGCTGTTGGAAATCACTTAGGAGGCTTTGATGGAAGAATATTCTACGTTTTAGCTACTATACTCAGCTCGATGTGCAAAGATGGCTGTCCCTCTTTCAGGGCTCCACCAAGGCCTAGCCATGTTGCTCTAACCTTCTCCACCGACGACGATGGTGGTTAGCGTGGCTCGGTCAACTGTGGTGTACACTTGGGTTGCGTGTCTATGAACGGGCAGCCGTGTAACTGAACAACGTTATGGCGACAGTTTTATTACCGAATAATTACAGGACGTGCTTCTCTCGTGTGTTCGTATAGAAATGATTTTGTTGCCTTTCCGCTGAGAAATTATTGCACGGTTATACTGGCCGATAATAATAATGATTGCGTTTTGACTGGTTTATAATTCGGTTATACGACTTGTGTCCTGGGTCTGTCTGTCTCTCTCGCACACTCTCACTTTATTGCTTTACCTCGGATACGGTTATGATTTAGTACAAAAAGAGCACGGCGTACGGAAAAACGGCGTCGCCATTGAATTTAATATTTTTTTTTTTTTTTCATCACAATAATATAATCGTATATACAGAATACACATATATATATATATATATATACCGTGTTCGGAAAACGTTCGGTCGCTGGGGCCGGATGACACCGATTCCTCCTGTGACCGTCCGTGCTTCCGGCATTTAAATAATGGTAATCGCGTTTAGTTATAATAATAATAATAATAATAATAATATTCCCGACTGAGCATTACCCGCCGCGTGTTACACGTGTAGCAGAGTATTATGTACCGGTTTCGTGAGAGTTATCACGGTCGGTAAATTAGTCGGTGCACATTATCCTTATTATATATTGTTGTTGTGTACAAAGCGCGGTGACGGCAGAGTGATAGGGGAAAAAAATAGCACTTTTTGTCACTAGTTTTATTTTCTGCCTCTATAATCCAATTCTAACGTCAACCTTGCCTATCCGCTCCAAATCTAACCTAAATCCGACCTAACACTAACCTGACTTTTAAATCTCTCGACCATTCAAACGGTCTGTGCACTGTAATTGTCCTCCCTAACGGAAGGTCGAGGTGAAGAAGCTCAGAGCTCTCTGCTTTTGGGACATTCTTTATCATCTTGGTGTGATGGAATATCCTTAGAGTATGCAGAAACGTAGAATATGCTTTTGCTTATGTATGTGCCTATCATCCAGCCATAAGTTTGATTCCTGGCAGCAAGTAATTGCAGTGATTGAATCGTTAAATGCTAAGCAAAGACAAATCTTAGTGCGTAGGATTCTCCAATCTAGTGAATGCATTCCTCCAAAAGGATTCATTTCCTCGACATTGATAGTTGTTGAACCTAATCAATCCAACCTCAACCTATCCCGTCTAACCTAAGCTGCCTGTTACCCGTCAACTACCATCTTACCACACCGAACCTAAAACCAATCTTACACTAACCTAATTTTTGAATGTCTTGACGCTTTTTGGCAAATTGGTCATACCGCGCAATAGTACAGTGTTCTACGCTAATGGCGCGTTTTATTTGTGATTTTTTCACCGGACTCTATTGTGTGCGAGTCGCGGGATCTATTATTAATATTGTTATTTATCTATTATTATATTTTATACCCGGCTCTGATGATCGACAACACGCGGCCGAGGGTTTATGAGAACCACGTGAGTTATGCGCGGGTCGTGACTGTGTGGCACTTCGTAGAAATGGCGTATCGCCGTTGTTGTGTACTATTATCGTATTATACTATATTAAATTTATTATACACCACTACTCTAGGTACTATGCTAATGTGTCCCACCACAGCACACCGCGTCTTTCTCTCTCACACACCATCTCGAGACACGGCAGGAGTCAGAGGTCATCCAGCGTTTGATGGACAGCCGCCTTATATCTAAATGTGTGTGAGCCCAGAAAAAGAGAGGTGTACCACGGATAGATTTATATATTATTATTATCATTATTATTTTATGTATGTATATACATAGTCCGAGATGGACGTTGTGTGACGTTGATTGACGCGGTGGCGGCAAGCCCGTCATCGTTGTTGCTTGTGCTTGGGATGTCTTTCACCCGGAATCGTGCATCGAGAGGAGAGAGAGAGAGAGAGAGAGGAGAGATGGATATGGATGGATATACGGACCGCTATTGCTCGGTGTGGCCGCGGCGCAGACATTATAATGACGATTATCATTATAATCGTCGTTATTATAATAGTTTTACGTTTTTTAATGCCCGGAGCATTAGAAAAAAAAATAACAAAACAAAAAGAAATATATAATAATAATTTAATATTACTATTTATTGTGTATCTACCATGTATTCTTACTGGGAAACCCGCGCGCGCATTCGGTAACAAGAAGAAGACGGCACGAGAAAAGAGGATACCAGCGAAGAACGTATATTAAAAATTATTATTTCCATCGTTTATTTTAAATCGGCCCGCTCGAGATTTATGGGAATTTTTCAACGTGTGGTACGCTGAGAATCCCAAACTCCTCGCCATATACATAATATATTATATTGTCTTATCTCATGAAAGTCGATCGGCGTTCGTGTAGGAGACGTGCGCGATCCGACTGGTCCGCGGTCGCAATCAATTACTGTCTGCCGTTCCGGCGGGGTTTAAGTTATTATTACTTATTAGTATTGACATGTTCTTGTTTTACGCGATGTCTTAACAAAAAAAAAAAAACCCCAGAAAAATAAGAAGTCACGCTTCAAAAACTATGCTCAGTCTATTGGTTTTTCTAATCTAGTGTAGGCATTCCACAAGCTCAGGCTTTTGGAACACAAACTTTTTCTGTTATAAATCTTAAATTATGTATAAATTCTGATTGAAATAATAATAATAATAAATCATCGTCATCATTGTTCCTGAAATCGGATTCAGAAGGTTGATCGATTCGCTGATCGGTATTGAGAATAGCTGTTTTTTAGTCGATAGTTGAAAATTCACCTAACTAAACCAAATCCTCAACCCAACCTTCTTCTGAAGATCTTCGCCTGACACTTCCAACTACAAGGGGTCGGTCACCCTAGTCCTACACCTCCAAAGAGCTCGAACTCCTACATCTACTTTATAACAACTCTCACTGCATCTGCCTCATCTCTCTTTGTAGCATGACCGAATCATCTCGACTTATTCTCTCACATTTTGCTCACAATTGATGCAATCCTCAACCTAACCTATCCAATCTAAATATAACTGCCTAACTGAAATCTAGTCTAACATGACCTAATCCTGACCAAACCCTAACCTAAACGAAGTAAAAACGAACCCAAAGCTAGCCTGAATGTTTGATTTCTCGTCGCTTTCCGGCCAATTGGTCGTCGCCGGAAAAGCGTATTCTAAGCCGACATGTTTATCATAATCGTATAAGGTATTTTGTGTTTCTCTCCGATTATTTACATGGTATGTGTTTTTGTGTGTTCCAGGCAAATGGGGTCGACGTGCAGGAGGACCTGGACCCGGTGACTGGTCAGGGATGGGCGGCGGATCTGCAGGAGAAGCGGCCAAAAGAGCGCAATTGGCAGCCGCGGCTGCTGCCGGCGGTCTGTTCTACCAGTCAGTATTCCTCGGAGGCGGAGGGTCTGCGGGAAGTCCCGGACCAGACTATAATTCCTGTAAGTACACTAAACTAGTCGTAAACTATTTGCCTCTATCACTTTAGTTTTTATTAAGGACCCCTCCCCTACAAAAAATGGCCGTAGTAAATGTGTAGGTCGCCGTGTGAGAGTGAATCACAACGAGCAACAGGTATTTTTGAAAGTGACTTCGAATCATATTTCTCGGTTATAATAATTTCCGTAGAACGCCCGTCCCAGAGCCTATTGTACTGGCTTTTTAATATCAAAAACGCCAAGTATATAAATATACACAGTATAAGCGTTCAATTGCGCTGCATCGACAACTGTAATCTTCTTTGTACAAAGCAGCGTCTTGTCGGCGGTCAGAGAGGATTGCAAAAATTGTAAGGCGGTGCGGTCGTCGACCGTCGTCGGATAGGGATGTGGTGTGAAGGTGTGAGGGGCGTAGGGATAAGGTATTTTTTTTTTTTCTTTCCCGAAAAAATTGCCCGTTTCATTTTGACGGGTTGGTGCCGGAGATACCTTTTTTTCATTAAAAATGAAATATAAAAAAAAAAAAAGAAAGAAAAACGCAATAGCCGCCCCGGGAAAAGCGGGTAACCGTACAGTTGCCCGGCCGCCGCCGGGAAATACGACCTGTCAGGGAACACACGAGGGGGGGTGGGGTGGGGGGCGGCGAGTAGGACCTGTCAAGTCGTGCGGCGCCGGCGAGTGGGGGGGGGGGGATGGTAAATTTGTGAGGGTGTTTTGCCGGGGAAAACCAGCCAACCCGTGTGGGGGGGGGAAGAGAGGGGCGGTTTTCCCGGTTGTGCGCTCGTGCTCGGGCCGGCCGTGTGCACTACTGTGCCGTACCGCCGCCGGGTCACGGTGTGTTACCCGTGGCAACGCAATAGCTGCTGCCACGCATATAGCAGCCGGCTGAGTGGAAAAACCCCACGGCGGCGCGTTCCGTCACTACGGTTTTCCCCTACTGCGCTGCTGCGCTGTGTGTGTGTGTGTGTGTGTGTACTTACTTTCCACCCTGGCGGCGCCTAACGGTCCGGGCGGGCTGTCGGGGGCGCGCGCACACGCTCTGATTGATGGGTTGCGGATTGGATGCGACATGTCTAAAAGGCGAGAGGGGAGGTTCGGCCGACAAGGCCTGCCCATCAATCAACCCCCTCCCCGCGCCGCTCACCCCTTTGGGTTACATCCCTTTCGCTTTTTCACATTTCCGGGTGCGCTCTCGCCCCCGCGCGTTGTTGTTGTTGTTTTACCTCGCCGGGTTTTTCCGAAAGTCCCTCAAAGTGTGTGTGTGTTTTTTTTTTCGCCTCCAACAAACCCCGTGTACTCCCGAATAGAGTACACGTCGTATATTAATCGACCGGGGAAACCCCCGTTGACTACTTGGCCGAATCCGACCCAAACCTATTCCGGCCAACTACGACTTAGGCGTGGGGGGTGACTCTAGGAATGAAAAATGGGGGGGGGGGCTAGAAAAAAATCCACAGGATTAGGAAAAGGGCAAAATACACTTTTAACGCGTACAATTTAAGTAGCTAAGGGGGGGGGGGGTGGAATTCGTTCGTCTCCATTAGTCGTGATGGAAACCTAATTCTGTATAATTGATACAAGTATTAATTTTGAATCCGACGTATCAATTGAGTTTAATCATAAATTACAGTTAAAGGAATAAATACCTACTCAAAGGTTTTAAAAATGTGAGATGCCTTGAAACGTTGTTCTGTGCCCTGGTAAGATTGTCATTGTCACAAACACACCAGCTGTATCGAGTGAATCTTATAAACGCATTCAGGAATCCATTGGATTACACTCGCTTCAGCTTAAAGAGGTATTTTGTTGAACGGTAACATCGGTTGTCAACAATTACCGACTCTAATAGGTTTGAAGAGTTTCACTTTTTTTCCTTCTCCCAGAAGTAAAGATTTAGTTATTATTTTTTTATATTATAAGAATAAACCCATGCGGTAGTAAGGATCTGATACGCGATAGAGGTACATTTGGCAAATATTTTGTAATTTATAAATTTGGTTTTAAGCTTTTTTTTTTTCAAACAAAACGTGGGGGGTTGCTAAGCCGGGGAGGGGGGGATGTCTTAGCTCGCATCCCACTTGGGTGTACCATTACCAGCGACGTTCGCATTTTTTAATGATACCTAATTAAAAAATAAAGATTTCGTATTAGCAGAGCGTTGTCGAGGCGCGGAGGGGCGAAACCGGATAATAGCGCTGGATGACAGTAATATGTCCCGCCGGGAGTAATTCGGGACCCCGGGATAAATCACCGGGGCTGGTCATGCAGGAAACAGGAATTCTTCTGGTACTCGTCATGCGTCTTGGTCCCGTGGGAGCCAATTACTCCCACGGTGTTGGCGTACGCTGCTCTCGAACACACATTATCGTACACACCGTGATTAACAAACATCACACACGGGTCATGTGTACATATTATATTATATCTAATCTAATACATATATGTATTGAATGTATATTATAATATGGGTCGTTTATTGTAAAAGTGGTGTGACCCAAAATTCTTCTTTCATTATTAAAGATAGGCAATGACCAATAAATGCAAACTAAAATAAGAAAACACCGAATGAAGACTCTTGTATTTTTGTTAACATCATACACATTAATATACAAAAAAAGCTCGTTTTTCAAAATTCAATTACAAGGAGACAATTCACTTTTAAAATGAACGACACATATGTGGATAAGATACCGTTTTAGACCTCCGGTGTCTTTGGAACAATTATTTAGCAATGTTTACATCGTTGTGATATAACAATAGTAATACGCCTTACGCTAATTATTTATAGTTCGCCTTAATAATTAATATAATGTGTAATATCTACAAAGGTCGAACCCAAAAGAGCATATTAATATAATTCAACGAAACACACAACACTAGGAATTAACCCGTTGAATTTCGTTTTTGACTTCAATTGAGCTAGGAAAAGCGTTGGAAGTATTTGAAATGTATACAAGAGGTAGTTATATTTGAGTATTCGGCGCTGATATATATCTGTTATTGTATTAATGTTAACACGACGATTAAAATATATACATTACAAGGAATTGAAAATATTTCCAACGCTCAGTTGAAGTCTAAAACGAAAAAATTCAACGGGTGTTAATTCCTGGCATTGTTCTACTTTTTATGTAATAATCATACTTTTTCGGGTTCGACCTTTGTCTCTGCGCGCCTTTATGTCTGTGCCCAAGTGTAAAATACTGTGTACACAAAATACTACTTTGATATTGACCAGACCGCAGGATATAATATTATTTCCGCCAGCGTCTGCCGATGACAACCGGCTGCTGCTGGTGGTGCTGTTGCCTGCCCCTGCACACTCGATATCAGCAATGCAAACTCGGGGTGGCCCTTTTTTTCTCTCTCTCTCTCTGAAGGGGGGGGGGGTGGTTTTCGAAAATGTCAAGAGCACGCACGCCGGCGGTCGGAAAGGAAATGAAAACCTCTGGATTTCATTTCCTCGCCTGCAGAGCAGCAACCTGTCAATGACATCCGACCGGCAGCCGTCGTCGTCGTCGTCGTCCCTCTTTATGTAAAACGAAGTGAACACGGCACGGTCGCTTAACTTCGATTACCGTCGGCCACCACTAAGGGGATAAGATAAAAATAATAATTAACGATAATTATTATTATTATTTTTTTTTTATTTAAAAAAAAAAAAAAAAAATACCTTAATTTCGTTTTATAATAATATAACAAACGACATAATAGATATATAAAAAAATAATGATAAATATTATACATCACATACGGACAGCAGACGTCCGTAACGTTTTGGTTTAATTAGTTTCTAATGTTTTTTTTTTTTTTTATTTCACATTAATTCGTCGAAACGATGATTTGTTTTTTTGTTATTCCTCGCATTACCTCAAGACGGTGATTACCTGTCCGGTGCATCAATGGCCGCCTTGATGAGCACCTCGCAAACGAGTTCCACAGAAACTCGTTTGCGGCTTGGGACTATATATATATACATATATGTTAATGGTGCCGCCCATTATCATATTTATATTCTTCTCTGGCCCCGGTACGCGCCGTCGTACGGGGTCGCCGCTAGTTGCCTCGGCGGCCATTATTATCATAATAATTTCCATAAACAGTGTAATTGTAATAATATGTACTAGCAGCAGCAGCAGCAGCAGCAGCAGCAGCAGCAGTAGTAGTAGTATTATAAATAAAAATAATAATAACGAAAAAGAGACAGAGGAGAGACAATGGAAAATTCAAAATAATATATCTATTTTCCCGGTACACACAATGTGATAATTATAAATCAATATACGTCCCGATTTGAAAAAATATCGTTGTAAGCATTGAGCATCGACCCCCGGATAAATCTTACAATTTATTTTTATCTCTTCCGAATCTAGATCTTTTATCGCCTAGCTATTTCGTATGTATTTTATCTTAACATATATTATAAAATATTTTAACCGTCTCCGGCGGCATCCGAGACGACAATACTGTTGGTAGATACCTGTTATTTTTTTTTTTCTTTATTTACAGTGACCGTTTATAATTTTTACGCGTGTCTCTAACCGCTGATTTTAGATTAGAACTAATTAGTCGCGATTAATTAGACTTATCCGCCTATTAATTGTAATCGTGGTAGTAAAATCTAATATTCTAATACGTCGAGTGTTTTTTTTTTTTTTAAACGTTCTTTTTCGCTTCTGGTGTCGTCTACTGTATTTTTTTTTTTTATAATGTCTACCCCGTTTAATTCCTACGGTATTACGATAACGCCCGGCGGGAGTTTAGCATAACATTTATTTAAAAAGTTAATGCGAGGGTGTGATGGACCCTTTTGGTCTATCACCCGCGGATTACCCTTCCGGTCATGTTTGTAATGTGTGCGCGTTCGGGTCATCCCTCGTGTAATCCAATCAAAGCGGCCAAACTATATTATATATATATATATATGTATATATACACAAGCACACGGGCCTTTTACCCTCGGCGTGTTGCGTATGATTATATTTAAATGAAATTTTTCTACCCTTCCGCATATACATATACACGTATATATATATACAATAATTACTAGATAAACGACACAAGAGTTTGTATGTATTATATTATATCATAATATAATATATTATCGCCACCCTCGTGCCCGCTTGTGCCGAATAATTATTCCCGGATAAATGCGCGCTGTTTTTCGACTCCGTATAATATGCACACAATAATATATACGATATAATAATATTATCTTGTCCGGCCGGTGCAGTGATTTTTATCGATAATAATTACACAGTAACACACCGCCGCCGCCGCCGACCGAAGAGGGTCTAATCTAAATAAATATTATTCAAAACTCAACGGGGTGATTGATGACTGTGTTTATCTAATAAACGTCACCCTATGACGCATATTATTGCATTTGGACGCGTGCACATCTTTACCGGTCTTCTTCTATCTGGTAAATTACAAGCGAAAAATTATCGCATTTTTAAATATAATTGTTGTATAATTATGTACATTTTGTCGCGGTAAAATAAAGATATTTTAATGTAATAACAACGATATAGTAATAATTTAATAAAAATATAGTAATGATTTAATAATAATAATACAGTAATAATAAATATAACTAGTATAGCGGTTGTTAAATTATTACTATATTGTTATTATTACTATTTTATTACATTAAATATATTTATTATTATTATTATTATGATGTACGATTTGTTCAAACGCGTGTAATGTTTTACCGCGACAAAATGTCGCATATTAATATAGTAATAATTTAATAATAATATAGTAATAATACACAATAACGATACATACCTACCTGGTATGATTTCGTTAGTCAAATCGGTTTACCGCGATTTGGTAAACAATCGAGATCAGAAAAGATTTCAGAAATATGTGTAATATGTTATACTTTTTTTTTTGTTGTTGTTGGTTGGTTGAACAGCTGGCGCGATACGCGCGAATCGTCGGTTTGATTTTTTCAATATTAGTTGTAAAATAATAATAAGTGCGAAATCTGAAAACTGAACGAACGCGGTTTGAATAGAATCCAGTTGTGAATACAACGTAAAATATTTAAAAAACGGTTTTGTGTGGTGTGGTTATCAACGTCTGTACCGGTTCGGACAACTGCATAGGTACTTGTAAACGAAAACGGCCTTTAGTTAGTAAAGAAATAAACATAACCCTTAAACAAATTAACATATTATAATGGTATCTCCTAAGGTCGTGTCGACCCTTGGCCCCCCCCCCCCTTGGTCACTGTTATTTATTAGCCGTTTCCGGACGGTGTCTCGGAATTAGTGAAATTCCTGAAAAGTCAGTATACCTTATCACGCCGGTTTCTGAAGTGTCGGCCTGAGGCCAAGACGTTTTTGGACTCGGCCGACAGATGCCTTTGAAGTGTTCAAAGAGAGATAGATCAATCGAGAGCGTGTGGCGTACGTTTGTTTATTAAATCGGTTCGCAATCCTTTTTAATAAACGTCACGTTTTTATGGTTGTTTTTTTTTTTTTAATTTTAAATTTAATATCTTCATTTTTTTTATCCACGATTTCCAGGCGATGCCAGTCAAACGGGCGACTCCATCGGTAGCGGCGACGGCGACGACATGGACGACGGCGACGGAAGCGGGAAGAAGTCCGGGTCGTCTCAAAAAAAGCGTGGGATTTTCCCGAAAGTGGCCACCAACATTTTGCGCGCGTGGCTGTTCCAACACCTGACCGTGAGTGTCTTATTATTATTATTATTAGTTTTTGCCTTTTAACCAATCCGAAAAACGGTAAAAAAAAAAATGAACAGAGGACATATATCTGCGACCGGCAATTCAACTATGCGGCGTGTCGAGTTTAAATTTGTCTAGCCTCCCCCCCCGCCCCGCCCCGGATATTGGACGGGTTCCAGCCCCTGCGACTGTGTGTGTGTTTAAAGCGAAGTGTTTTGTTTCCTAGCCCACAACCCTTTACGACGAAGGGCTCTAGTGTGCCTTAAACGCTATACATTTGAAATCATCTCCTCCCCCGCGCAAGTGCCCCGCCGCCGAGGGTTTATACCGCGTTATCGCGCTCCCCCTCACCCGGTTGTCACAGTGTCGTCGTCGTCGTCGTGGTGCTCTCTCGCCGGTCGGAATGTTCAATTTCTCGGTGGCATTCCGTAAATTACACAAGTTTTTAATTACCGAACCCCGCGTTTTGTCGTCCCCTCCGTCGCTCGCCCCACCATCGACGGTGGCAATTAAAATTACACACACACACACGCCGGGGGACTGGTGTGCGGATATTATTAAAAATTCCTACGCGCCACCTGATATCCATCCGCGACTGGGGCTCAGGCGGGTTCGGCGGAGAGAGAGGGTCGGTAGTCGAGGGGGGTGGTCGGGGGCGGGGCCCGACGACAACAACACCCGTGTTCCGTTTTGGTGCATTCGCAGCGGCGGCGGCGGTAATCCGTTCCCCTTTTGTTGTTGTTGTTGTTGTTGTATTTCAACTTTAATGTAAATTCCGCTAAACCCGACCCGGCGGTATATTGTACGAGAAATACTTTTTACCAAAAGGGCTAAACGGGTATACGGTCGTGCGAGGGGCGGAGTGGTGGTGGTGGTGGGGGGGGGGGGGCGAGCGGCCGGTCGAAAATGGGTGGATCTGGCGCGCGCGGTCTCCCTTTCGGTTGCCGGTGGCAACACTGTCGTCAGCGCCGGGGCGACACGCAGACCGCCGGGGTAGCCTGGGCGCGGTCGTCCCGGCAACCGGGGCACCAGTGTTTTTAATTACAACCGGCCGATTAGTGTCCGGGGGGTTGATATTCCAAAAAGGGGAGGCGACGACGGGGTAAGGGCGTGCGGCAGCGGCAGAGCGGTGGTGGTGGTGGTGTACCGTGCGACGCGCGCGGGGTAGGAGGTTGTGACGTCTGGCCCGGAACTCGGTAACCGAACTTGGCGGCGGCGGCGGCGGCCATCAATAACTCTCTAATGCGTTTCCACGATAATTGTGTCGGAAACCCATAATCGGGGGCCGATGATCTAAAAATAGAGATCTCTAAAGGATTTTCGGGGCCCAAAACCCACGTGCACCGCTTGCCCGCGTCCGATGCGCCCCACTCGACGCCTATTCAAACGTTTGCTTTTGATCTGCAATCCTTACCCCGAGGGGGGCAGCAAGAGAAGTCACTCGCAGTTTGCTGGTCTGTCGTGAATCGACTAATTCGCGTGTGTTTGCCCGCTTTGGGTTTGCTGTGTTTCAATGACGCTTTTGTACTCGGTGACCCTGGGGGGTCCCGGGGAGACCCCCGGACCGCCGTCGGCCAATTCAATTCCACCGATACACGGCTCCGTAACGATAGCGGCAATAATTAGACCACACTCTGTCGTGCAACGACAACAATACTTAATATAAACATTGTGTAAACATTGGCGCTTACACGCAGCGTGGTGTGCTATTCGGGTGGTCGGTTCTCGTCCGGGCAATTAATAATTACAACGGTATCGTGGCGGTACACAAATCGGCTTGTATTCACCACGGAATGTGCTTTTTGGCACGACCAACTGACTTCGGTCTGGTGCGGAAACCGTCGAGAAATTCAAATATCAGGTTCGTTTTTAGGAGTCGGATCAGGCAGGCATTAGGGCGGCAAGGTTAGGTTAGAAGATACGGATAGGTCGAGGTTGGATTCGGATAGGGGTTGGGTGTTTGCTATTACACAGAGCTACCCCGATGTGGAAGATATGAATCCTTTTGGGCAGGAATGGATTCACTGGATTAGAGACTAATCATCGTAGACTATTCTTGTGCGGCCGGCAATTACTTTTGTTCAATTTTTTCGGTCTAATCAATTTCGCAAGAGACACGGAGACAACACATCATCGTCTAACAGCTATTACATTGGCGAAACGCTATCCGAGTGCCTGTCTCTCTCCTCCGCCCTGCTACTACTACTACATACACCCTTTGCGCGCCCGTCGTCGTCGTCGTACCCTTCCTCTACTACTGTTTTCTGGTCTCTTACCACCCCGGCAAATAATTTATATCTGGTAGTGACTGCGAGCAACTGTAATACGGGGTGTACGGCGGGGTCTGGTGGTGTATAGTAGTCTGTAGTAGTAGTAGTGTAGTGTACGGGGCTTTAAGGGTAGCGGCAGAGTAATTTATTGCTTGCTGCGCAACTGTAGCGAGCGATACGACAGCAGACAGGCTTCTACACCCGCCACCGTCAAGGAAGATTAATGGCTACACAGACTATATAGTGTACATATATATATATATATATATTTTTTTTTTTTTTTTTCGGCTACACTATTTCGCTCCGTCTAAAAGTTTTTCTCTTTTCTTTTTTTTTTTTTTTTTTTTTCTCTCCTAACGCTTTTAGATTGAAAAAATTCCTCGCCGGCTCCCTTTCCCTCCCTCCACCCCCAACCCCCTCGCCACTACTATTCTAATACATTACCACTATTTTACACTCGTTCCCGGTCTACAGATAGATCTCCTCGTGACCGTCGGCTTTTTGTGCAAAAAGTTTGTGCGACTTAATAGCCATTGGAAACGGTAGAAATCGTTTTCCGCGGCGCCGTGAAACCAGCTAAAAGACACTTTGACAACTCGTTTCGTTTTTCTCAAGCGGTCACACTGTACTGATAAGGATAACTAGCGATAAAAGAATGCAAGTCAGCAGAACGTCGACCAGTTTTGTGGGATTCGACCATATTATTTGCACGTGAAAGGTTCTAACTCCCGCAAAGATGGCGGATCTAGTTGATTACGTTTATATCGGTGCAACCAACTCCATTTGTGTTGGTAAAATCTTAAGTTAGACGCCTCATTTATATGGAATCATTGCTTACAAAAAAAAAAAAACAAACTATTTAAACGCTTTTTGTTCGATAGAATTATTCGAATAATTTGATTGGATGTTATTATTCGGATAAAATTATTATTTAGACGATAATTATGTTTTTGAAATCATTCGAATAACTTTTAATCGAATTTCCCGTGTTATCTAGATAATGATTGTTGTTGTTGTTGTTCGGATAACGTGTTTTATTCGAACGATGCACAACTCCGATGCGATTCGATCGGTGGTTTTATTTGTTTTTAATTTAAATAACTTTCGCTCCGGTGTACGTTTCCCTTAATCGGCATTTTTATGGCAGGATTTCCCCTCGGTGCTGCTGCTGCTGCTGCTGGTTTTCTGTACCCAATTCTCTCGGTGTAGTGTAATATAACTACCGTCTTGTACTACCCCATTACACTCACCTTCTTCGGCGGCGTGTGTGCGCGCGGAAGGTGTATAACTGCCGCCGTATACGACTGTTGTGTTATTTTCCTTGCTTTTACTCTTCAATGGGATTTTTATGACTCTAATAGTAAGTGTACGTACCTATGTATATATATATATATATATACACTTATACAACCCGTTAGAGTAATGGCCCGTGTTAGTGGCGGCAAAACGCGCGTAGCACATTAAATGTGATTCGAATTGTTTTTTTCTTTCCCCGTGTGTTATTTGATTTATACTGTTATTATCACACGGATTTTCCTATATATTTAATTCGTTATTTTTTTTTTTTTCGCCTTTAATTCTACGTGTCGCGCATAATTATTAAAAGCTCTCTCTCTCTCGACGGTTTTTTTTTTTTGTATCACTTTGTTTTATTATCCGTTTTGTTTTACTGGTTAATCGCCCGCAATTAATTGTAGGTTTTTTTTTACGGTAAATATCGATTATATTAAATTAAACGGGCAATAAAAAATGATAAACCCCACCGTGTGTTGTTTGTAGCCCGCAAACGCGACATCGGAGATTTAACGACCACCGTGTACACGTGTAAAAATTAATTTCTATTGTTTATGAAAAAATCGTAAGCTGTACAAACAGTGGTTTTAGGACACCGTCACTTGATTTCGGTTGAAAATGTTAGTCACATCATGCGTGATATGAAAATACTAGAGAAACGTTTGGACATTTTTCTCTGGGATGCTCTGAAAGCTATATAAATCATCCTTTTGCCATCACGAACAAATATAGAGCCTAAATAGAGTTGATTCTAGTTAATCGTCATGGCTTTATTTAATTGATACGTGTATATTTTGTCGTTGCCAAATTATTGTCGTTGTCAAAATTATATGCTTGATACCAAATTAAAGGTAATCTCTCTATTATCTCGAATCGCACACTTTGTACCCCGGGTACTGTGTTTGTGATTTTAGACAAATTTAGAGCAGGATTAATACAAGTTAGAAAAAAAACGTGTAAAATGTACACGATGATGGCTCGTTTTACAGTATAATGTTGCGCTCGGATGCACTCGAGTCGCTGAACAAATATTAGACCGTGTACAAACAATATAGAAATTAAAATATGATATATATATATATATATATACATATGCTGTACACATATTGTATGCAAAACGATAATAATTAAATCTCCATCGCCGCCACGTGTACCTACCGGTTAGGTGTGTGTGTTTTTTCTATGTTTGTTCACCGGCCGTATTATAATATCGTATTTCACTCTTTTTTTTTTTTTATTTTTTATAACGCTGTGTAATAACTTGTGTGTGAAATTAAACTAAATAATTGATATTCAAATTATTAATTACTGTTTAACACGTGTTGTGCGTGCCCACCGCGCTATATTATATAGTATTTCGCGTTGCTTATAATAATATATATACGGACATAGTAACCTTAATTATGTGTTCGCTATTACTATTTTATATTATAATAATATATATATATATTGTAGTATGTTATTATAATTTACATTAATTACAAACGTCTCGTGACCGCGTAGCGGCGCGGTCGAGAATAGTTGTTAAGGTGGTAATATATTTCAAACGGTATAGGTAATATTATCATCTACTAGCATGATATTGTATTCGAAAGCAATTCATCATTTTTTTTTCTTCTTCTTCTTCTCCCATTTAGAAAGTAGTCGAACTTAACCCTTTGCTAGTAGAGGCATGATACAGTAGATAAAACCGCAGAAAAACCAGACGGGAAACCTCCTAGGCCGGGACCATTGGCTGGCGGTCGGTCACTTGTAATTTTTTTCTTTCAAAGTTTCCCTTCTGGTTATTAATAATCAATCAATAAATGCAGCTATGCTCATTTGTGAAACAATAATTTCTCTATCGGGTTTTGGCGGGTTTTAAATTTGCATCGATTACATTGCTTTCGTGGGGAGTGTTTTGATCCGTAATCCGTGGTAGCTGTAACTGATGGCGGCAAGTTGCTACGAGTTGAAAAAAAATATATATATATATATATTGTACACACATATTTTTTAAAAACAAAATATAAAAATCTCGAGTCTATTTATTTTGTTGATTTAATTATTAGTATTCACACAATGAACAACAACAACAACAACTGGGCTGGCTGGTTCCCGCCGAGGCATTCGCGTGCGGGGGGTCTGTTATAAGATCAATGCCTTCCTGGTTCCGCATCTCGGCCAAAAACTTGCGCAGCACGTTTCTACGTACATTAATTTTAATTAGGTAGTCGAAAAAATTACACGCCTTAATGCGTCTTAACTGTGCGCCAATATTAACTGGCGAGACGACTATACCGATGAATTATTGTTGTTGGCCAATTGTCATGCCGTACGATTGACCGCTGCGATGCCGGTTGTCGGTTAAACGAATTAAACATTTTAAAGCTCGAAATAAACAAAAGAGGATCGAAGTAGATGCAACGAGAATATCCAGGTGGAGCAACCAGATAGATAGGTCAGACTGAGACATTACAGAGACGTGTGTAGAGCATAGCGGGTGAAACATATCAGTGTAGAGGAACGTTAAGGTCACAAGGAAATGGAGTGAACAAGGAAATCGACGAGGATTTGTAGAGCGAAGAGGATATTGTATGGGAGATTACTGGTCGACAGGAATTGTTGGAACTGAAAGTGATGTTATACTTTGATACTCGGCGCCTATGAATATTGAACTGTTGACTTTTACTTGGTGTTATTGTCTCTAATTTCTGCACGACCCCCGAACACCGTTGACCGCCCAGGCCTCTCTGCCGTCCGTCCCCGCGTTTGTGCGGGTCCTGCCGGCAATAATAATATTACACATTATCGCGGGAAACGTTTTGTGCGTTTTAGACGACAGTGGAGAAAAGGCCGGACGTTTTTGTCGAGTATATAGTACCGTGTCCCGTGTCGGGAGAGTGGAGGAAGCCTTCTATTATGACCGTAGGAATGGCTTGCAAATAACAGATAGCTTCCTCTATGGGCCATTTCGGTCACCCTCTTCGTGGGGGTTATCCATATCTAAGATGACGACGCACCGCAAAAATGGAAAGTGGCTTTTTTTCTTCGCAAAGTGTATGCAATACTCTCTATTATTATTATTATCATGGCCGTATTCACATGGCGGCCGTGTGTGTCCCCTTTATAATAACGTAAAAACGAAAACTACCCTCGCGGCCAGAGAGAGGATGTAGATAGTGAAATTGCACACCAATAGGAGACCTTTTTTTTTTTTATTATCCTATCCCGTCATAAACCGCGACCGGAATTGAACTCTAGTCTCGGTTTTCGTACCTACTTGCCAATTGCTCCAATTGCCAATTGAGCAAAAGGGGAACGCGATGAACGGATTTTGTTTGTCGGTGTCACCTTTATTATTATTCATTTATTTACCAATTTTTTCCACGTTCCGCCTCTTAGGCGCGCATCGTCGGTGGTTTTTCGGGTGGTCGATTAGAGTGTATAGGTATATATTATTATTACTATTATCATTATCAAAGGTACGTGCCGTTGCCCCAGGGTTTATAGAAGTCCCAAAGGGACTGCGCTCCGACTGTGGTGCCGGGCCGCATTAAACATTCATCGGGCGGTATTTTCCGGCCGGGAGAAGAGAAGATTCAGCGTTTTGTGCTATTTATGTATTCCGTTGGCGTTTTAATCTTTATCGGGGCCGATAGTCACTTTGGTCTCGAGCCCGGGGCGAATTAAATTTATAAACGCCGTGTGGTTTCTTTTTTTTTTTTTGTTATTCTTTGCCTAATTTTCCGATCGATTTCCGCAGGGGAGGGAATTCGCAGAGGTTTCTAATCCGATGCCGCGGCTCTTTTAAATCGTGCACACAAGAAACGTGTGTAAAACGAACAACTAGGTCTGCGTTGGATAAATCGATTAATATAAAAAAAAAAGAAACTCAAAAGCATACCTATTCTTTAATAGAGAGAAAAAAAAAGAATAAAACATCAGACAGCTGTTTAAACTTGATTGAATTTAATTAAATGTGCGATAGATTTTAAAATTAGCAGCATTGTGTGATACGTGCGTTTTTAATATTTGCAAAATAAAGTCCATTTTTCTAGTATTTTCGTAGCACCAAAATCTTTATAAGACTTGGAACAGTAAATTTAATATTGAAATTCCCATCTGAGAACACACACACACACACGCATACTGATAGACAACCGGCCAATGTATTTCTCGGATCGGTGTGGCGTTGGATACACTGCGGCGCCCCCCCGGTATGCACTGGGTATATGGGTTTTTCCAATTATTTTAACGTCCGTCCCGGGAGGTGGAAAAGGGGTTTTTCATGTGCCAAAATCGCGTGATGCCGAGCAGTACGTTACAACGGGGTCGCGTAGGTCGTCGAAAGCAATGTTGTATAAATTCAAAATCAACGCTATAGGGTGGAAGAAAATAATACATAGGCGCGTGTGTAGACCACCAATATGTAAAAAAAAAAAAAAAAAATAATAACTAGGGAAATACCGAACGTCGTGGGGCGAAAACCGATAATGTTATTATGAGATGCCACTCGAGAAGAAGAAGAAGAAGAAGACATAGGTAGAGAGACAACAGAGGGGCTCCGAGGGGTAACCGATATAACCGATTTGGTTTTCCTATTTTGTGTACATCGGACGGGGCAAATACTTTTTTTTATTGTATTATTATTTTTCCTTACGCGTACCCCCCCCCCCCCCGGCCTACATAAAAAGTACATATATATATATATATATATATATATTATATTGCCCACCACGCTACACCTTATTGTGTATACAGTAATAATATGTATGTAGGTATATATATTGATATTGATATTCCGTATTTTTATGCCCCCCTCCGGAAAAGCGTTTTTTTATTTTATTTTATCGACATATATGGGTCCTTATATTATATCTATTTTTTTTTCGGGGGGTTTTTTTATTCTCTTCCATACATATATTAGATACAATGTATAGGATTTACCGGGCCGGTGTGTGTAAAGTGGATGATATCGTTTTACGACCGGTGTGTGTGTGTAAATCGAGTAGTGATTTTTTTTTTTTTGTTTATCGTTACCTACTTTTGTTTTTCTTCTTTTTTTTTTTAACACGCACGCGTTTCTACAATATATATATATATATTTTTTTATCAAACGTGCATGCCTGTTATTTTCGCGCTCTTCTCTAGTTTGATTCCGACCCTCCCCCGGGGGTGTGTACGCCTTCTCCCGAAACTAGACAGGTCATTATCGCGTGCCCCGGACACACCCTTTGTCGCACACATCACACGGCAGACAGTACAATTACGGTATAAAATATAATATTATATAATATATATTGTATATATATATATATATATATGATGTGTCAACACGGTTTACAAGGCGGAAGAATTCCTACGGGGTCCGTGACGATTTTACACTTACCGTCATATATATCAGAAGATTCCCGTTTGATTTCTGCTGACTGTGTGATGTATGTTGTTTTTTTTTTCTCTTATCGGCTGCTTTATGAAAATTTCGTGTGTAATTGAGGCGTGTATTGTGTGCTCGTCGTATGGCACATCGTGTACATAATATAATATAATTGACATGTTTCCGACACGCGACCACATAGACAGAGAGAGAGAGAGGAGAGAGAGTGCATCGTCTTGGTAGGATCATGATATCAGATGATATATAATATATATATATATATATGAAATACGTGACGATGCACGTGATCTGCTGGGGGAGGTGACGTCGCACACGCCTACTAACCGGGATTAAAAATAAAAAAAAAACGCCTCGAACACTCCAATTACTGTTATTTATTATTATTTCGTTGTTTGAGATTAAATTTGCCGTGATCAAATTTTTTTTTTCCACCAAATATATTGTACAATAATTGTACTGATAACAAGTAGTGTCGATAACGATGGCCGCTGATAACAGCTGATAACAGCAGATAACATCTGATAACCTTACAGATGTTTGATAACATTCGACAACAAGGATTGTTTATAATTTTAGAGATTAATAATAATTGAAGTTTGTTAGCCGTTAAATAATGTGTTTATTTTTTTTTTGTTTTCTTTTCAGCACCCGTACCCGTCTGAAGATCAGAAAAAGCAATTGGCCCAAGACACCGGGTTGACGATACTGCAGGTCAACAACTGGTGAGTACCACAACAGCACCGTAGACTAGTAGTTGTAGCTTACATAATTATGAATATTATAAAATACTAATATATTAAATTGGTTATTAACATTCGGTTCGTAACATCATAACAACTCGCGTACACCAAAAAAAAAAAAAATACTGTTATTTTTTTTTAAAAATTAATTTCGTTTATTTACTTTGTGTGTGTGTGTGTGTGTGCGTGAGAGAGAGAGAGAGTTCAAAACTAGAATAATAATTATTGCCCTCACATCGTCGTCGTCGTCGTTGTCCATTTATAAATAATAATAATATTAGCCATTGGCGTTTTTTTTTTTTTCCTTCAAGTTACACACGTGCCGACGGGTTAGGTCTTTAAAAACCATCTCCATCTCTACCCCACAATTATTATTGCACGGTCAATGTATAACATATATATATATATATATATAATTATAAACTTAGCCTCGGGCAACGGGTATTGCCTTCGTGTCTACCTGCCACGGGGGGGGGGGGGATCCATCTCGCATATGTTAGTACTTGGTGGTTTTTTTTTTTTTGAATTTTTTTCTTATATTATTCTCTTAACGCCATACACCGACGAAGACAGACGGGGCGGAATATATGTACATGTGGGTAAAGACCGTCCCGGTCTTCTCTCATAATAATAATAATAATAATACAATATAACATGGCAATGACTCGGCACTGCTGTCCGCGACCATTCGGGACAAACAATTCCAGCGTCTCTCCCCATATAATAATACATATTATACAATTATACGTGCCTTTTAATAGAATTATATAAGGTTTTTTTTTTTTTTTTTTAAGACACATTTTAACCGTCGCCGCCGCCGCCGTAATGGAATTATATTATAAAATAATATTATCGAGTCGGTGTTGGCGCGCTCTTTACGTATATTAAATAGTCTATACACGAGTGTTCTTGCTGTCAGGTTCAGAGAGAGAGAGAGAGAGAGCTATACACGTCTGATGTGTATTATTTTACTTTAAAAAAGTGGGCGGACTCGGTGCGCGCGCCCGCTGTTGTATAATTATTATCATTTTAAGCGGACCGAGATAATTTCTAAATAATTTCCCTTTTTTTTTTTTCTTCACCTTAACGATCGCGTTCAAGTTGTGTTTCGAGTGCTCAGCTTAGGTGCACTTAGTCCTAGCCACAGACTATAGTCCAGAGTCCTGGATAATTGTGTTTGTATCGGGGTCGAAACTTGACCTACTACGGAGACGAGAGATATGCGATGACAGCGATAAGAGATAGCGGTGAAAAATAACCGGCGCTGTTAATAATTATTTTCCGAAAAAAAAAAAAAACCGTAGGTATCCCTCGGGAACACCACCTCGGTGCTGCCGTGCATGTACGTCTTCTTCTCCCGCTGTACACTATTACTAGAGAATAATAACCAATTTTTCGGTACCTACCCTCGGCGTTGTCATTTTTTACGCTTACTCGTTTTTTTTTTTTTTTCATTTCATTCTCTCTCTCCATACGAGTATAGAGTAGGGCGATAATAATAATAATAATAATTTCGCCCTCACATATTTTCTCATCGTTTTTTTTCCCTCCTTCTGGTGTCTGTCTTCCCCTTACTCGCTGCCTCGTCGTTCCCGGAATCCCGGAGTCCCGCGAGAGCCAGCCAGCCAGCCAGCCAGCTATATATATATATATATATATACAGAGAGAGGTGTCGGCGGTATAGTGCAAATGATGATGACAGTATCGAGTTTTTTTTTTTTTGTATTTTTTATTCGAAACGCCCGAACCCTTAGACCTAACCCCGCCGTCGCCACCCGACACGATTCCCAAGGCGTGTTGGAACTTTACCCTAAAAAAAAAAAAAATTATATATATATACACACACACACACACACACGAGGCATGATAAAATATGATGCGGCAACTTTATTCTGGCACATCATCATCCGGAAAAGTATGACACGGCGGAAAAATGTCTCGCTAGACATTTATACATATATATATATATATATATATAGGTATATAGTAGAAGTACTTAAACGACGTTTTAACTATCTCACGAGCTACATATAATAGCAGTATATAGTGTAAGGGTCGCACGAGGAACATCAGAGTAGTGGTGCGTCGTTCGAATAAAACGTTATCCGAATAATCTCATCTGGACAACGCACATTGTTGTTGGAGAGTCAAATTCACTGGAATTAGCTGTTATTCGTTGGAATAATTTGTTTTTTTTTTTTTCTATTAAAATCATCACAATTTACATAATACAAAATACTAAAAAATAACTTGAACGACTGACTATCACTTTTAAGCAAAGTTTATGTTTGAGATGGATTAGAAGATAACATACATAATACAACCGTAGAATACATTACTTTAAAGCGTGATGTCTATTTAACACTTAAACGAATTGTGAAAACGACCAATTATATATAACAAAAAAAAAAAATGTATAGAATTACTATTTTAAAAAGGTGGAAATTCTTTTTCATATTGACACAGCATACAGTCAAAGTACATTGTGGCCCTAAATGGTTAACAAATGATTGACCTTTTTGGTTTACTAGTATATTTTCACTTTTCCAATATTAATCACCATTATCGAATAAATTGAAAAATAATTATTATCCGAACAATAATTTCGTTCGAATAATGTGTTTTGTTCGAATAATTTCAAAAACGATTCTCCGAATAAATTATTGTATATTTTTATTCGAATAAGAATTTGCATAACTCTGACAAGGAATGGTTTTTTTTCCTCGTCTGTTGGTTGGTTTTTTTTTTTGTTTCGAATTTTATTTCCATCTTAACCGCGTCGACGCCTCGTTTATTTATTTATTTTTTTTTGCTTTTGCTTTTGCTTCATTGTTTCAATATTAAAACCTTTTTTCTTTCGGCCATTTTCATTTCGAGCCAGCGGCTCGCACCACTATATTTATCCTGAAATCTCTGTAAATAACAATCCTATATATATATATATATGTGTATATCGTTGGCTTATCGTTGGGGTTTAATTACAGCGTATTTTTCCGGTCGAGGCAAAGGTAGAGGTGGTTTCGTCGTAGAGGGAAAATGTACTTTTCCACAGAGAGAGAGAGAGAGAGCGAGAGACATTCTCTCTCTCTCTGCCCAGAGATGTATATCTGCAGAAATGTCACCCGGATAGCTTTGCCGGGTGGTGCTTGCTATTGCGCCGTGTAATTTATTGTCTACCAGGGCGGCTCGCAATTTCGAGACTCGAACCGGGGAAAATGGAAGGAAAAACTTTTCGGTTTCTTCTCCCTCTCTCCCGGAACCGGCCCGGATGGCTTTCATTTTCTGCCATCACTTATTCGGGGCAAATAAATTGTAAGATGGAAAAATGTTATTAAAAAAAAAAAAAAAAATGAAAAAAAGAAGGTAAAATAAAAATGGAAAATACGGGAGAGATGTATAATAATAACGGCGGGGCCCGGCGCCGGAGAATAACGGCGAGATGATGTTATTATATTATTATTACTATATATATATATATATATGTCGAGAGGAGAGATAGAGAGACAAACGGGAATAATAAGAAAAAGGTATTCGGGTATAAATATTTAATCGAAGAAACGCCGGGGAAACGATGGAAATGACTTTTTTTGCTTCATTCGCGAAGAATGAAAATTTATGAATAATGAGCAATGACTTTTTTTCCCAGAGTATTCAAAGATTTATGTCGAGGGGGTATCTCCGAACAAACAAAAGCAATTTATGCGTGTGTTTGTTTTGAGTACGAAAAAAAAAAGCGCTAAAATATAACTGTTAGTTGTTGCGCGAGCCAGAAAAAAAAAAAATTAACAGTTCCGGCGGTCGCGTCACCTGTTGCCCGCCGCCGCCGTGTGACAGTAATAATGTGGAAAGTTAACTACCTATATAATAAAAAAAAAAAAAAAAAAACTTTGCTACATTGCAAACGAGAGAAGACGACGGAGGAAAACGATGTCGTTTCTTTTTATCACCTGGGGTGGTCGTGACAAGAAGACGATCGAAAATTACCTTATCCCGGGGAGACGACAAATGTCTGTATAGTATATATATATATATATGAGTAGTAGAATGTGTTACATCGCGTTTAGTCGAAGAAATAACTAAAGAAAGAAAGAAGCAAAAAAAAAAAAAAAACGACACCCACCAACGCCGAGAAAACGCGTTGGTAAAATATATATTTATAGCGGTGTTGTTTTTTTTTTTTTTTACAAGTATACAATTTTTTTTCCCCTTTATTCGAACCGGCAATCATCTTGTACCTATTGGGGGCATCAGTACACGCAAAAATGATGTGTTCGAACAAACCCGTTTACGACGGCCAAACTTGACGTTTGCCATTTTTTTTTTTTTTTGGGGGGGGGGAGGCATGCGTATACTTGGCCGGGCAATATGGAACGCGCGATTCGTTTGGATTACCGCGAGTGCAAGCGCGATGAGATGTGTTATTATTTTTTTATGTGCATAATATTATATTTATGACGTTTTTTTTTTTATTTTTCTGCCCTATCTCCGGGGGAGGTTATTCCGTGGCACCACCCTCGCATCTTTTTACGCGCAATGTACCGGAAAATCTAAGACAAATGCGTCGTCACCGTGGCGTACGCTGTTGTATACGAGAATATGCATAATAAAACGACGGGGCCGTGTCTCTTCTTGGGCCGCTGCCAAGTCTATATTAATATATATATATATATATATGTATATATAGATATTATAATTCTGATTCGGCATGCGTGTGTACGAACCATGTCGGAATCGTAACGTTACCGCGGTCGTACCGTGTTTGTCTCTCTGGTTCAGTATGTTGATATATGTTGGAGATGGCAGGGAAATTCGCGGCACGCGGGAAAATTTCTAGTTAAAATCTATAAAAGTCGAAATAACGTTAGTGTTGTTACCTACGCCGCGGTTGAGAAAATTTAGGACCTTTAGTCGGAGGAAATTCCAAACAATTTCGACTTGTACCCGACTGAATAATGGTTATCACGATTTTGGAAACGGCGGAA